GATTGATTGTTAGGTCCTTAATGTCCAGTGGCAAATATTTCTTCCATATTCTTGACGAGAACAAATGCTTGTCCGGAATGAAGGTCGGAGAAATTTGGAATGACACTGGAAAATGAGGGTATATAATTAATGAAAGTTAAAAGTCACTTTTACTATAAATTCCTTAAGGTGTGACACTTTTAAGAGTTTCTAAAGTTTTGGTGCTAATCATTGTTATATTCATGCTCAATGAAACGTCATGAATTTCATTAACAGTTAAGATTACAATTAAAGTAAATGTGTTTTTAAATGGTCATTAACAATTTTCCTTACGAATCACATTTAGTAAACTTGCAAATAGCTGTTCAAGGAATATCTAAATGACTGTTCAACAAGGTGTCTACTGTTTTTACCCACAGAAATTTCGGGCATTAATGACGTTTAAATGATTAAGACTAAATTATTGATATTATTACATGTTGAAAACAGACAAAGAAAATCATTTGAAGAATACAAAGGCAACGATCATTTAACTTTCAGGAAAGAGGTATCATTTTATTCCGTTTTACATTTGTTTCGTGCTATCACAAGTGTAGCATTCTATTTTTTTCAAATTTAATACTATTTAAATCATGAGAAACAAACTTCATCACATATTTTTCTTCTTCCTCGAGATTTTTTCCTGTAGATTTTCTCATACATTGTGGCATCTTTGTGTAGCAAATCTTAACGATCTACCATGACAATTTGATGATTGTATAGTCATTGCTAAATAAAAATAAATGTGTAACACGATCAGCAATACAAGATCAACAGAAAAGAGATTATTGTCATAAATTCTATCCTAGTCCACAATTTTGGAGTGTTTCCATTGTTGAAAATGCACATATAAATAGATGAGCCCCACATGCTCATAAGAGCCTCTAGTTTTTATAGCATTAAAGTAAGGCGTGATCGAGTTTCAATAATTTTCAAGAGTATGGTTACATATTTTTGTGGACTGCTTCCTGGTGACCGATATGATGGTATGTTAAACCCCGATTTGTAGCATGAACTTTCGGAGTTTTAGGATTGATCTACATAACATATAACATATTATCGTCCAAAATATTCGTGTAACACTGGTTAAAGGACATGTCATCAATTATTATTATCTCAGGTTTCCAACAAGAAAGTAAAAATTAACAAAATTGAGAATTGAAATGGGGAATGTGTCAAAGAAACAACAACACGACCAAAGGACAGAAAACAGCCGAATGCAACCAATGGGTCTTCAACACAGCGAGAAAATCCCGCACCAGGAGGCGGGCTTCAGCTGGCCCATAAACAAAAAGTGTACTAGTTCAGTGAAAGTGGACGTCACATATAGATCATGGGGGCCTAATTGTTAGGATCATGAGTCAGAGCCTTTTTTATTCGTCAACATTATCTCTGATTCTAAATTATATTGTTGAAATGATAACACTTCAGCATTCCATAACGGGTTGATCAACTTCTTATCAATTATGACCTCCCTTGTTAATGCGATATAGTAATAATGTATACCATCTTCCAAATAAAGTTTATAATCTTAATTTTTCAACTAGTATTTAATACTTAAATTTTATAATGTATTTCTTATTTTAGATAAAGCAACAAATATTTGAAACTGTGTGTTTCATTTTTCACCTTATTTAATTTTCATCAGTCATGGGAGTCTATTTTGTAATCGTTGACATACAATAAAGCGTCATAAAAAATACGAACCACGTTGACGTTTTTACATTTCGATGACTATGAATCAAAACATGACAATACTCAGAACATAATACAGAAATTGAATTAAAATATCGTAAAAAAAAAAAAAAAAAACTTTTTCTTTTTTTGGGTTTAAATTTGAAAAACGAAAAAAGAAAACACTTTCGTTTTTCATTTTTCAAATTAGTTTACGATTTAAAAATTGAAAAACGACATTTTTGCTTTCTTATATTGTTTTCGTTTTTGTTATTTTTTAAAGCGAAAAACGAATGGCCGCAAATATACACGTACCATATACACGGACGAAAGTATACATGGACCCAAAAATCCAAGGCCCGGCATAATAAAATTTGAACCAATTTAAACTACAAAAAACAGAAAACTAATTTATGCAAAAGTAATAAACCAATTTCAAATATTATATACAGCAACCACTGCATTACAGGCTCCTGTTTAGAACCAGGCACATAAAACATGTGGCTAGGTTAAATATTTTTCTGAGTCCATAACCTTCCTCTGGCCCTTGATAGTGATATAACAGCTATACAAACTGTAAAAATCATTTGGAAAGGGCTTGACTCTTTGATCGCCACGACGCAAATAAAACAACTGACAAAATGACAAAATACACAAAGCACCGATCTAAGATAGTTGCAGTTACTAAAACCAATGCTGAGTTTTAAAGATCACTACAGCTTACAAATAAATCGTGCTATACTAGACATTGACCTTGTTGTAGGGTATGAATGATTCGTTCATTGTTGAAGACCCTACATCAACTGTCAACAGGAATAAAAGCCCTGTTCATTGATAATTTTCTATGTTTTCTATGTATTGTGTGCGATTTTGTCCCATGTACATTTACTTCATATCCTTTCATTTTCTATAAATGCCATTCTGTAACACATCCAATGGAGTTCTTAAAAAAGATGTTAAAAATTAACACTTGCAGTGAATAAGAATAATTCTTTAAGCTTTTTATTTGATTATGCCATGGCCGTCGTATAAAGTTATCATTTTCTTGAACTTTCACCGTTTTTTATAATTTAGGTAGTTTGTGTTGCCATTAGTGTACAATGTTGACCTCTTATTTTGGCTTTGATGGAGCTTAAAGTCCTACGATAAGAAGAAGAATAGTTGTATCCAGCTGGTATCCGGGTATATACAATACACCTTTTATTATAATAATAAATGTTTTAGAGTCAATATTTTGATATATGGTATATTAGTTTATGTAATCGTTTCCTGTTAATATTCAATGTTTCGTTGATAAACATTATATTTACTCGTTCATGTATTTATAAACGTTGTCTAGATACTATCTGATTCCTGATTTATGAGTAAACATGCATATTAATAAACATCTTTTTTCAGAAATGTGTGTCAACATGCGTTACATTGTAAGTTTCTTCCTAGTAGCTGCAATTTTATTGGTGTCTCCTTAGATACCTACATTTCATAAAATATCTATTCCCTGAATGCTAACAAAAATAACATTAATAGATGTTGTTTAGATGGATGGGTGTTGTGTTGTGTTAGAAAAAACTATTAATAGGGAAAAGATTGTTTAAAGGTTAAATTAATGTGCACTTTAAAGTATCACATTGCCAATAAAATTAAAAAATTAATAAAATGGAATAAAAAGGGAAATGATACTAAAACTTAGAATTAAGAAAATTGGAACAATTAAATGAAACAATTTACATATATATGTATAGATTTGCGTTTACAGTATACTGGTCTCAAATTTAAACATTGCAAGGTATTATTTAATTGGAAAATATGAAAGAAGATTCACAGTATAAAGCCAAGCTTGAGAAGAACTATTGTAATAGTGAGATAAATACAGTTATGATGTGGTGTACCATCGAGTCAAGACAAGACACACGTTAAAAAAAGTAGAAATAATCAGAATCATTGCTCTAAGAAGGTCGAATATTTAGTGGGATCAAATAAACCAGCACAACAAATAAGAGTTTATTAATTAAGGCCCGGCCGAATGGCGGACGCCCTATAGTGATCAGTCTGTCCGTCCGTCCGTCCGTCCGTCCGTCTGTCTGTCCGTCCGTCCGTCCGTCCGACCGTCCGTAACAAATTGTGTCCGCTCTATATCTAGAGAACCGTTATGATTTCAAAGTTTATACTTGACATGTATATAAACCAACACCAGAGGGTGTGTCATAATTTATGTACAACTTCCTAGGTCAAAGGTCAAGGTCAAAAACTTTGGTTTCAGTTGACAACCCCATGTCCAATGATAAAGATACAAATTTTTCTACTTTTCAAAAATTTCATCCATACTAAGAACGCTTACACCTTCAAAACTGTACTAAATTTGTCAAAAAAATGAGAAAAATTGGAAAACAATCGCCTCCCCCCACCCCCCAAAAAAAAACGACTGGAAAAAGAACGATAGCTGGATATTAGGGACGAAGAACTTACGCCTTAGATATTGTTTTTGCAAGTTGCTTTCCGACGTCAACGGCATTGTCAACGGCATTCATTGATCGAGGAGGTGACCACAGATATTTGATGATGAAACATTGACTAATTATAAACACTGGACACTTTTAATTTGCAAAACACTCATTTGCAAATCCGCCGCCGCCTCTCCTTAGACCTACAGTGTCATGTATATAACCAAAATGTGCGGAATTACATGGGATTCAATAAATTCATTGCTTTTCTGCTATTATTATTATATATATTTTATAATTTGATTTAGAAAAACATGGGATTTTCAATATCCCATGGGATACGGCAAATCCCATGGGATTGACCATTATCCCATGGGATTTTGGTTAAATCCCATAGGATTTTTTTGGGTCCCATGGGATAATTATAGTCCCATGGGATATTTGTTGTCCCATGGGACAAAAAAAATCCCATGGGACTATAACTATCCCATGGGATTTTTAATATCCCATGGGACAAAATAAAATCATATGGGATTCAAATTATAAATATACAGTTAATAAATGTGTATGTTACAATGAATTCTGTTTGGTAGTAAATTGTTTTAAGATGAATCTTTTTAGTTGAATATCTTTTTTTCCTTGGAAATGTTAATGCAATTATATTGTTCTATAACTGTTCAAAACTAAACTTTTAAACAACAAAGCAGATAATGTAAGTATCAGTATATGTTTATTTATGAATTCTAGAATACTTTTTTGAAACAAACACAACACAATTTTTTCCCATTTTAAATCAATGAAAACGCTATTAATAGGCTTAACATACTAGTAGATTTTTACTAATTTTTTTTTCAGGATATCCCTCCACCCAAAACATTAATAGTTTCTTATCATCCAGCATTGTGTGATCATAATGTATAGTCCACTTTTTGGCCATCAGCACAGAACATTGTCATTATTGTGGTTTTAATATCTTTAGATATCTAATAGAACTGCAATTCATTGACTGAGTGATGAAAATAATAACTGATCTGACTTTTGTCTTTGAATTTATTTTGGTCTTGTTTCTGTGTTTTCTCCTTTTATTCTAAGTGATGAATTTCAATCCTTCTGAAAAAGAACCAATAAAATCCGAAGTTATGGATAATAAAAATTGTTTGCATACATGTAGCAATAACATATGATTTTCAATAAAAATAGCTATGCGGTATGGATTTTTCTGATTGTTGAAGGTTGTCCAGTGTCATCAGTTGCTAACCTCCTACATCCTTTGGTCTCTGATGGAGAGTTGTCAAATTAGCAACATACCACATCTTCCTATTCTAATATTATATAACAATCAATTTATGTATTCTTCTTTATAACATTTAGGTATTTTCCCCAGTTATATATATATATAGATCAATGTTAAAACTTTAGGCAAATACAATAAAATTCCATTTTTCACAAGAATTTGCAATATATTATACAGAAAGCCAACAATAGAAACAGCACTTCTTTAAGCTTCTGAAGTTCTGAAAGAGTTCCACTTGTGTTTTATTTCAATCAGAAAATACATTGAACTCTTTGGACATGTTGGAAATTATAACATTGATACAAAAAAATTATATAGTTTTTTTTTTCTTATTTTTGTGTTGTACGGTTGCTGTCTCATTTTTATATATGGTTATACATATATCCTAAATCTTCTTTTTTTTAATACTTAATCATTAATAGTAAAAATGGGATGTTTTTTATTTTGATAATCTCAAAACATTATTATTCTATCAAATAACTTATTTCCAAGTTCACAAAACACCAATGTGTCAGATATTAAATTTAAGACATGTATAAACATGATCAACAAGCAGTTGACAGGATGTCATGCAAAAATCTCACTAATATTAAACTTTCACAAAAACTCCATACTCAGCGAGTACTATTAAAGTTTTTTATAGTACAGGACAAATTCTTAGTATAGGACGACATGCCTGGCAAACACTAGCACGTGTCAATGTCTAGTCAATCATGTAATCAGGCTAAAAATCTTAGTTTGGCACTGAATTTAAAAATTCAACACATAATGAACATGTGTATGAAATTCAACTTCATGGTAAGCTATGTACCTTAACCTAAAACTTTAACCTAAGAATGTACTATAATTTCACATTATGACATTTCTATGTTCAGTAATCCATAAAATCAGGGTAAAAACAGTAAATGTGGTGTATAATGTATAAACAAGAGTGCACACGCTGAAATGTTGCGCCTTCTTTACTAATCATTGATATCATGTTGATAGTCCTAAATATAAAGCTTTACTACAACTATCACATAAACTCAACATGATCCAAGAAAATGAATTCAAGGTCATATAAACCTGACAAGAAATATATGTACACCTTACAATCATTCAATATACTAAATACAGTTGACCTATTGCTTATAGTTTCTAACATAGTCTAAGAAGCAGACTTAACCAAGAAAACTACACATTGACCAATGAACCATGGAAATGAGGAGAAGGTCAGATGAACCATGTCAGGCAGACATGTACAGCTTACAATCCTTCCATACAACACATATAGTTGACCTATTGCTTATAGATTAAGAAAAACAGACCAAAACACAAAAACTTAACACTAAACAATGAACCGTGAAAATGAGGTCAAGGTCAAATAAAACCTGTGAGGCTGACATGTACATCATAAAATGTTTCCATACACCAAATATAGTTGACCTATTGCATTTAGTATTAGAAAAAAAGACCAAAACTCAAAAATTTAACTTTGACTACTGAACCATGAAAATGAGGTCAAGGTCAGATGACACCTGCCAGCTAGACATGTACACATTACAATCATTCCATACACCAAATATAGTAGACCTATTGCAGTGTTTTCCCTAGGCTGTTCAAGCATTGCGGTACCGCTACGCATAAATTTCGACCGCCATGCTTTCATCATTGCCGCAATGCATCCCGCTATGTGTGAAAATTATAACTGTGTAAAATATTTATTATCGATTTCGAAAGTGAAGTGACAAGTGACCACACTCCACATGTGTTTTAAACTCATCCGACTGATAATTGGATGCATCACGTCGCGCATGCCGGAATTTTACAACCTTCTTGATTAGTTGGTTATATCGAGACTTCGGTTACATAATAGAAGTTGCCAGTTAGCTGATAAATAAATAGTCAGATTAATCTCCAATGCATATCTTTCTGTGCTAAATAAAAAGTTTAACCTTTTCCAGTATAAATTTCACCTTAAAACGGGTGTTTGACATGATCGTTATTTTACTGCGATCTTTAAAAAGTAGAAATTAAAAATTTGGTATAGTCTCTGGTATTATAAAATAAAACTAACGTAATTTCACCGGGAATGGACAAAACTTTTGTATAATAAAGTTTCGCAGTTTTTTCATCAGCTATATTTACATCGATGAATTATTTTTTGATTGGTCACAACAATCAGTTATTTTTAGATTAGTCGCGGTTGATTGATTATATCAAAGAATACACATCACAGCCACCGGGCCGAGAAAAAGACGTGTTTTATGAAATATTTAAAAGATTTGATAGAAAAACTTTCAAAACATACGTAGATATTTACGGAAATATTGTTTTTAATAAACTTGTGTTGTTCTACTTTTATTTGAATGGGTCACATGAAGCTTAAGTGTAGCGGATTCATTTGCCGTTTTTTACACAAGTGGGGCTAAATTTCTTTCACTTCGGCAAGATAGGATTTTTACAATTATGAAGCGTTCTAAATAAATCGGACAGGGATGTATTTAAAAACAATAGTTACAAATTGTCATGAAATAAAATGTCAGTTTAGCTTCCAAACAATGTCATCCGTATGTCCGTTTGTCAGGTATTCTTTATTGACGACTTCTGTAATTAACGCAATAAACTTTGTTTTATTGTTTCCTGTAAAATCTCTGTGAAGCAATGATGACATTCAAAGTTTTATTTAATAACTTGCTGTTCCAAGATGCTGAAACCATTCTATCAGCAAACTGAGGACACTGTTAGTGAAAGAATGTAAAGACATGACATTTAGGCAGACAATGAACAAAGTTGCCAGTCTTGGAACTTTGTATCCTTGTCTGTCTAAGTATGCAGTATTGAGTCTTCCATTGCCAGTTTCAACAGCTGATTGTGAAAGGTGTTTTTCATGCTTAAACAGAGTTAAAACACCTTTGAGAAAAAGAATATGCCAAAAAAGTGCTGAATTGCTTAATGCATATATCAATTGAAGGACCAAAGGAGGAAGATTTTGATTTTGAAAAATGTGTGGTGACCTTTGGAAAGTTGAAACAGAGGAAGATATCAACAAAATAATGTGTAGGCCTACATGGCATTATTTTGTAAATAACTATTACAGACTGGATTATTTTTATTATTGTTTATTAAGTCTTCCTCTCATCTGTAATAAATACTTTAAAGTTCCATGACTTATATGAATTGCTGTACCTATAATAAAACAATTAGATTGGTATATGGCTTTAAACATATAAATTATGTAGTGTTACTAATTCCGGAAAAAGAAGCGTCGCGCGCCGCGTTGCAAATTCACCATGGACCCACCATGCATGAAAAATTTTCTAGGGAAGACACTGATACAGTATAAGAAAAACAGACCAAAACATAAAAACTTAACTATAACCACTGAACCATGAAAATGAGGTCAAGGTCAGATGACACCTGCCAGTTGGTCATGTACACCTTACAGTCCTTCCATACACCGAATATACTAGACCTATTGCTTATAGTATCTGAGATATGGACTTGACCACCAAAACTTAACCTTAAATATAAATAAAATGCTCCGCTGGGGCGCAGCTTGATACGACTGCAGAGGTCGAACCCTGAACAGTTGGGGCAAGTATGGACACAACATTCAAGCTTGATACAGCACTGAATTTGGATTGTAATTAAATATTTGACACAGCATAGGTTTCTGACACAGAATGAAAGTGGTCTAAGAACTTAAAAAAATTTTAATTTACCTATTCAAACCATATCATTATTATTTGCTTTTATATATAAATCAGAATTAACCAATTTAAAATGGAAAATTTTAAAGAAAAAAAAAGGAAAAAAAAATCCCCCCCCCCCCCCCCCAAATGTTTTGAACCCCCTTATGATTCATCATCCCCAAACTCAATCCCAGCCTTCCCTTTGTGGTATGGTACCTTGCAGTACAATTTCAGAGAGATTCATACACTTGAACACAAGTTATTGTCTGGAAACTAGAAAAATGCTTGTTTTTTGGCCCCTGTTTGGCCCCAAATTCCTAAACGTTTAGGGCAATTACCCCCAAACTCAAACCCAGCTTTCCCTTTGTGATAAGGAACCTTGCAGTACAATTTCATAAAGATCCATACACTTACACACAAGTTATTGTCCTGAAACTAGAAAAATGCTTGTTTTTTGCCCTTTTATGGCCCCTAATTACTAAAATTTTGAGGGAATTACCTCCAAAATCAATCCCAGCCTTCCCTTTGTGGTATGGTACCTTGCAGTACAATTTCAGAGAGTTCCATATACTTGAACACAAGTTATTGTCTGGAAACTAGAAAAATGCTTATTTTTGGCCCCTTTTTCCTATAATTTTTGGGTAATTACCCCCAAACTCAATTCCAGCTTTCCCTTTGTGATATGGAACCTTGTAGTACAATTTCATAAAGATCCATACACTTACACACAAGTTATTGTCATGAAACTAGAAAAATGCTTATTTTTTGCCCCTTTTTGGCCCCTAATTCCTAAAATTTGGAAGCAATTACCCCCCAAAATCAATCCCAGCATTCCCTTTGTGATATAGAACCTTGTGATACAATGTCAGATAGATCCATAGACTTACACACAAGTTATTGTCATGAAACTAGAAAAATGCTTGTTTTTTGTCCCTTTTTGGCCCCTAATTCCTAAAATTTGGAGGCATTACCCCCAAAATCAATCCCAGCATTCCCTTTATGATATGGAACCTTGTGGTACAATGTCAAAGAGATCCATACACTTACACACAAGTTATGTCTGGAAGTTACAAAAATGCTTATTTTTTGCCCCTTTTTGGCCCCTAATTCCTTAACTGTTGGTACCATAACCCCCAAAATCAATCCCCACCTTCCTATTGTAGTATTGAACCTTATGGTAAAATTCCATTGAGATCCATTCACTTAAACTAAAGTTAGAGTGCGAAAACTAATGTGTCTTCGGACGACGACGACGCCTGAACGTCATACCAATATACAACCACAAAAATTTGTTTGCGGTCTTATAAAAAGAAGATGTGGTATGATTGCCAATGAGACAACAACTCTCCACAAGAGACCAAATGACATAGAAATTAACAACTATAGGTCACCGTACAGCCTTCAACAATGAGCAAAGCCCATACCGCACAGTCAGCTATAAAAGGCCCCGAAATGACAATGTAAAACAATTCAAACGAAAAACTAACGGCCTAATTTATGTACAAAAAATGAACGAAAAACAAATATGTAACACATAAACAAACGACAACCACTGAATTACAGGCTCCTGACTTGGGACAGGCACATACATACAGAATGTGGCGGGGTTAAACATGTTAGCGGGATCCCAACCCTCCCCCTAACCTGGGACAGTGGTGTAACAGTACAACATAAGAACGAACTATAAAAATCAGTTGAAAGAGGCTTAACTCATCAGATGGATAAAAATACAAATACTACAAATACAAGTGGACGTGGCCGGGTACTCGTACATCCAAACAACAAAAAAAGACCCTAAGTACAGATCTGAGAGTACTCGCAGTTACTGACAGCTAGTACAAAGCCACTAACAACTAATAAAAAAAATCATGCATCTAAGACTAAGTTCTTGTTCACTGATCCATGAAATGAGGTCTAGGTCTAGTGAAAACTCTCTGACGAGCATGAGGACCTTGCAAAGTATGCACATACCAAATATAGTTATCATATTACTCATAATATGAGAGAAATTAACATTACAAAAAATCTGAACTTTTTTTTCAAGTAGTCACTGAACCATGAAAATGAGGTCAAGGACAATGGACATGTTTCAGACAGAATTCGTATCATGAGGCATCTATATACAAAGTATGAAGCATCCAGGTCTTCCAACCTTCTAAAATATAAAGCTTTTAGGAAGTTAGCTAACGCCACCGCCGTAGCCACCACCAGATCACTATCCTTATGTCGAGCTTTCTGCGACAAAAGTTGCAGGCTCGACAAAAATACATGAACATTTTAAAGTAATAAATTTTGAGTATATACATGTAAAACCACAAGTTACTAACTGAAGTTCATGGTGAACTGTAACCAAAAACTTTAAGTGAATACAATTTAGAGAAAGACAGATGGATGCACAAACACTATCAAAACAGAGCATAAAACTTACCGAACAAGATGTTTTACATTTATCCTTCAGAAGCAGGAAAATTCTCTGCCCTCCACGATATAAACTTCAAATTCATTCATGCAAAATATGAAAATCTGCAAAAGTAGGACCTTGTACCGCAGCTTATCCACATTTTGACTTTTGAACTGCATTGTTCTTTTCATCTGGCTGACAACCTAAACATAAAAAAAAATTATAAACACATATAAATTCTGGATTAACTTCGTGTATTTATTTTTGTTGGTACAAACAATTTTTTCCAACTTTAAACTAAATCTGCCTCTGCTTTAAAAAACAACTGAAAACCATTATTAACTGCATGTATTTATCTTAATTGAAAACAATTTCTTGAGTTTTTCTCATTTGTATCACCCTGTTATTATATATAAATTTTATTTTTGTCCCTTTTTAAAAATAGGAATGGTTTAAATTCCTCAATATCATGATAATTCTAGGTCAGTCAATTAAAAATGTATGAATAAATTATTTAACCTATATACTATCATTTTCGATAAAAACTAGGCTCTGTGTTGCAGACCGTACCTTGACCTATAATGGTTTACTTTTATAAATTGTGACTTGGATGGAGAGTTGTCTCATTGGCACTCATACCACATCTTCCTATATCTACAAACAGATTTTATGGGCCAGCAGACATTATACCCTGGAGGTGGTTTTAAAAAAAGCATACGACTTAGATGTACCATAAGCATGGAAAAACAATTCAGCAGTCAGTTTCACAAAAAAACTTACAAATAATATTGATAGTAATTAAGTCATGTACAATACAGTATACTTACGATTACTTGTAAAGTTTGTTTTTTTTCTCAAACCGACTCAAGTATACTTATAATCAATCTTAGTCGTAAGTATTAAGTATTATTCATCTTTTGGATAATTTGTTGGTTTATTTTATGAATATACAGTGGCGGATCCAGAACTTTTCATAAGGGAGGGCCGGCTTCAGTCATGCTTCAGTGATCCCTATATAATCAACCAAATTTTTCCCAAGAAAGGGGGGCCCAGGCACTAGAAAAGTAATGAATAGTTACTCATTTGGGAAACTTTCAAATTCACAGCATGCCGGTTCCTGTGACTGTGTTCAAAGTGGTGGGTTTTCACCCTCGTTGTATTGCGGAATAACGATTTAGGCAAATTGAGAAAAACATCATGTCTGTGGTTGATAATAGTCATTAGTGTGTGTGCATTAATTTTCTATACCTTCTTATTTAATATCTTTCCAATTTTGAGTACTGACGGCAAGTGTTGTAACGTATAGTGTACCAATGTCTTGAGACCCATGTGCTATTTTACAAGTGCGATCGAGGAATGCAGGGGAAAGAAACTTATCAATTATGTTTATTCTTAAGACAAAACTGAGCCGCCGTAAAAATGAACCGTGTCGAGAAGGTTACTGACACGTAATAGGGCAGAGACATATATACACATATGTGTATATATGTCTCTGTTATAGGGTCATCCCTCGAGAACATTAACTAGTACATTGATAATTTACTATGCAGTCAGTATCCCGAAAAAGTAAGGGATGAATAACCTCGATAGCTAATCAAGAAAAGTAATAGGAAAACTTATTTCAGATCAAATAAATTCTTTTTCTAAAAAACTGCTTGAAATAGTTGTATTTTTTTTAATGTATTTGATTGAGAAAATGTTTTTTTCTTTTTTTCGGCATTTCTTTTAATTTAAAAAGTAAAATCTGGTAATGATCATGATATTACAAGAAACATTTCTTTGCTAAAGTTTGCTTCTAAATTACACAGTGAAATTATGTGTGTCCGATTTTCCGGTCATTATTTCCTTAGAGTTGTGACTGTGGATTCACAGGTGTGCGATTACGCAATTTATTGCCCTCCGATCACCTGAATTTTGCCGGAGGTGAAGTTCTAAATGGATTATTACTTGGTAATTGTTTTTACAACTAAACAAATTCTGACGGTTTACTCCTGGTTTGCCCACATTTAATTATACCAATTATCTATTAGTAAAGAAAACAAAAAAGACAAAAGGTTTAATGAGCATACAATTGTATAGTCTGTTCCAACTTAATAGGTTTATAGTTTATCTGTGTTTTCTATATATTCAGGTATTTTTCATTTTGTAGTTTATATTTCTATAGATAAATGATAAATAAATCGAACATTTTTTTCTCAATAATTTAGTATCAAATCAAGCGATTCATTTGACATACAACTAATAACAAAACAATTATGATATAAATACACCAATATATGATAAAATTGTCTTTTATTGCAGACATAATTTATATTATTTATGAATCAAATTTATACATGCATTGCATAATGAAATAAATTAAGCACTATGGTAAAAATCAAATAATAAGGGGCACTATATGTGACCAAACATGAAATGTTGGGTCCAAATGAGGTCCATGGTGCAAAATGAGATTTTTTTTCAATAAGTACCTATTTGTAAGAGAAACATTACTGCAAATTTTCAGATACGGGCTGTAGTTTTATACGAAATAGCCTTTCGTTACAAATGTTTTATCTCAATAGTGAAAAATAACAATTTTGCCCTTGTTTCTGGTATTTAGTGAAAATAAAAAAAAAAAACACAGAATACAACAGCTGTGTTTGTTATTACATCTGTCTAATTGAAATAAAACCGCAAGTTTATTGTTTTCTGTTTGGTATTGAATTAATGATAAAGATCCTTTTTGTTACATCTTGTGATACGTTTATTTGGCAATCGCCAATGGCAGTCAGCAGGGCTTGAGAACATCCATTGTTCGGCCTGTTAGTCAAATGCGTTTTGTTAAAATATACTTTTTTACTTTTTTGGTCTTTTGGAAAATGTTGTTTGTGCTGTATTTAGACCCCTCTACCAAGAAATTTGTTTTGCATGCACACGTATAAAAATTGTGGTTTTTATCCAACGCAATCATAGGTTTGAACGTTGTTTTCAATTTAGACTTATTTATTAACAAAAAGAAATGATACCCTGTCAACATATCTCTGTAAAAAATAATGAAGTAAAGGATTTGAAATAATTATATATATTTAACAATCCTCGTAATTTATTGTTAAGGTAATGCTGGGCATGTACTTTTCCTATTTTTTTTATTTACAATGTCCAGCTAATTTACAGTGTCCACATTTCCTTTTTTTTTGTCATTTTCTATTGCTGATTTAGCAAGTTCAGTTATGGCACTCTGGCAATGGGCAAGCTTCTTTATTTATGCAGCATGGTGCTACTTCTGTGTGTGAAATTATTAACAGCTTGGATGTAAATTTCAGAACAAAGTATTTATTAAAAAAAAATAAAAAATAAATACAGTGAATAAATAAAAAGAATTTTAAATGACACTTATTTATTCTCAAGTTTCATTTATTTACTTTTTACATATTTTGTTTCGGAATGTACCAACAATTTAAAAAAAAATGTCAATAATTTGTCAAACTAATAAATATTTTTTGTATTTTTGTTTTAATATTTGTCAAATTCAATACAATTTTCTGGTAAATTTATAAAATATCTTTGCAACTTTTCCTTGATTTAATAGTACAATTAAGTATCTTTTATAAAATTTTACAGGTAAAATAAAGATTAAAATATGACTATAATTCAGAAATAAACTATAATTGTTAAAACAGCAAAACACCCTATGTTTTTATAAACCTGCAATTAAATGTGGGCAAACCAGGATGACACCATTCTGACATATTATTTTAACCATGACCAGAACTTTATTTTAACAGAAACACTGGGCTCTACTATGAATAGGGTAAACGGACAGAAAGTCACAGGACAAAAAGTCACAGGACATAAAGTCACAAATTGGATAGGACAAAAAGTCACAAAAAATTTATTGCCAATTGTTTGAATATATAAGAAAAAGATCTTCAAATAATTTCTTTTTTTACATTTATTCATTTTTAAGTTCAGGGAATTGTTCATAAGCCTTGATAAATGAAAAATTATTAAATTTTAATCATGTAAATAATATATTTCTTGGCAAACCACTTTGACATTTTGTTATCATAACAATTATTTGATCATCATTAATATTTAATGCACATTTTAATTACAAAGTTGCTTCATATATTATAGTTCAATAAAAAATCAAAAATTTATTTTTAAAATTAGTGTTTTCTTGTTCAGAGAAAAATAATCTCAAAACTGAATTGTGACTTTTTGTCCTGTGACTTTTCGTCCGTGACTTTTTGTCCTGTGACTTACTGTCCTACATTCTACTATAGTATATCTATGTCTCTGGTTAAAGTTGAAATCAGGATCTTGGGGTTTGGGGGGGGGGGGGGGGGGTCTTCTTTTTCTGTGTTCTTTATTTTTTTAGCTATATTTCTAAAAACTTACACTTTTTGCTCATTACTCTCTTTCCTCATATTTTAGCATTTCATTATTCTTTAATATTTATTGTTTGCCCGTTATTCTCTATTCTGTTAACCCCCATCCATACCCTCTTATGTGGACTTAAGCTTTCGGTAGTTTATTTTATCCTATTTCTGTCTATGTGAATGTAAATACATTATTTATCACAAAACAAAAACTTACTAAATATTTTTTTATGAAGCCTCACCAGTTGCGGATCAAAAATGTCATAAGGAGGCACTAACTGTCATGCATAAAGAGGGGGCCCGCTTCAGTGATTCTCTAAATAATCAACCAATATTTTTCCAAAAAAGGGGCGGGCCCCCATGCTCCCACCTCAAAACCCTTACCACTTCGTATCCTTGAATTCAGATTCAAGATCTCTCTGACTAAAGTAAGTAAGTAAGTCACATTTGCTTATATCAGGTTTTTGAATTGAACTGGCGGATAGTTGTTTCATTACCAATCGTACCACATCTCCATATTTTTATATATACGAAAGCTTTATTTATTTTTTTTGGTGTATTGATGAATGTGTAAAGATGCAGCAATTGTAATACATTTCAAAATACAGCACAAGAGATGCAGATTATATAAAACTTATAAGTCGAAGACATACTGACAACGCCATGGCAAAAACTTAAAAACGACCAAATGACGTACAACAGTCTATAAAATTAACTATAGCATACAAAACGCAAACATTTAAAACACTTAAGAAGCACCCAGACAGTCAAATAGAAATTAAAAGAATAAATAATTTGTAAAGATTTTCAACTAGGCCTACATGTAGCTATATTTTCTTATCGTCTAACAGTAAACATAGGTTCTGGTATTATGTGATAAGTCATTTTTTCATGCAGACCCAGTTTCATTGATACCTTGAACTTAAAGTGGTTTTATGCATATCAGCCCAGCTTATGTGTGTAATTTTATTAAACAATTCAACAATACACGTTCTAAACAGGTTAAATCAATTAAAAAATTTACAAATTCAGATCTACTGGCATTCAACACCCAATTACTTACTTGCTGTATATTGCTAACTTTGATTGTATATTGTCAATCCCTCCACATCGTGAATACGCCATGCGAGGTGTTGGCTAAGTTTGATTCAGGCGGCTTCGAAGCGTAGAAAAAAATCCAGGTAAATGATAGTGTAAAATTTTGTTGTTGAAAATTTAAAGTACTTAATTCCTAAATTTGTACTTAACTCCGTTCTACGGGTAACATGGTTGTTTGATAAGAAAATAGGATAAAAAGCATCCGGAAAAATTAATTATCACATTATAAGTATTCGTAAATGGATATGAAAAAACTTAACAATGAATAAGTATTGGTAAAAGGACAGAAAGTCGCAGTACAAAAGTTTAAATTAATTATTTTACAATTGTTTAAATATATGAGAGAAAGTTCTTGACGAATTGACTTTATTTATAGATAAATGTATTTAGTTGAGGAAATGATTAATTCGCCTTCAAATAGTTTTTTTTTTATCAATAACTTATAAAAAGGAGACATTTTTGACAGCATGAAGCCAGTTAATTACCAAACCACTTTGGCAGATTGTTTTCTTAAAAATCATTATTCGATATTATTATTCAAAAATAAATTTTGTTAACAAGTCCGTTTCCTTTTAAAAATGTTTCAGAAAAATACTGAAACGTTTTTAAAATTAAGTTTATTCAAAGAAAAAAATATCCTAAAACTGAATCGTGACTTTTTACTTGTTACTTTTTGTTGTACGTTCTAAGTGTCAATCCTAGCAAACACAAATTTGGAAATAAAATCGATTACAATGTAATTTGTTAGAAGGAAAAAGGGAGGTTAATGAACAAATTATTACTATACACTCACATACTTCTAAAAAGATTTACATATGTAAGTTGTCTATAGATAATGTTAAATTAGTTCAGGAGTTTCAATTAATTTAGGAGAAAAAAAAGATTATAAACAGTTTAGTTTTCGACGCCTACTACTACAAAAAATTCTGATTCTTTTTGTAGATTTGGTACTTTAGTTTCGACTCAAAATTTCCTATTGAAATTGTTAGATACCAAATATTTAGGAGAAGATTGTATTTGTACTTTATGTAATTGTGGTGATATTGGCGACGCGATTCATTATATTATAGCAAGGATTTGTAAAAATCCTTGATTATAGAATGTTCGGCAATAGACGAAAGTAGACAAACCCTATTTAAACGGGATTTTGATCTCCAAGGACGCCACATTTTACATCGAATAAGATCTATATTTGTTAACGTATTCAAATGAAATAACTTGAATTGAAAATTTCCCGACTATGTGAAGATTTCTTATATTTCTAAATGGCTTCAATTATTACATACAAAACGAAAAATTTATTTAACTTTTTTTGTAAAAACAATATTCATGTATTTTTATAATTTTTCTAAGGAAACGTTGTTTTTTTTTGTTTGTTTGCAAACTTTACTTGTATGTGTTTATAACCATCACCAATCAGTCCTAATTATTAAAGATCAAACGTCCTAATCAAAATGATGATTGGTATTGAATGTGATCATCGGTCATGCATGACGTATCCCAAATAACTTCTTTAATGTTGGTTTTATTTTATCAAAACCAAAATTATAAGATCAAATATTAAATTATCTATCGAATGTATACCCTCAACGCTCACTAAAACATATATACATGTCCTGAGTGACTTGTTATGTCCTGTCTGCACTTAGGAGGTCCTGAGCGGTTTTTAGACGTACCGTTAATTTATAGGCATATATTTGAAGCTGTTCTTAATTATGTACATTATCTATAGGTATACATGTATCAGACAAAAAGACTTTCCAATGAACTAAATTCTAGTTATCTTAGTTCCTAGTCACAGGCACTTGTCTCAGAAAAAAATTTCCTATATACTTTTAATATTATATTAAGCAGGGACTTTCTATACTAAGTTAGTATAGAAAGTCCCTGCATTAAGGTATATAGGAAACAAAATTTTGAGACAAGTGCCTGTGGTCCTAGTGTGAAATAAATCCACTGGGAATTGGCCTTTTTAAAAACATCTATATATACGTTTTCTCAAGGGTTTGTACATATAAAGTGAAATTATGTTTACTCAATGCGTAGTTACATAAGTTTATTTGCTACTTTTTTCTTCTTTATTTTATATAAATGATTTTTTTTTTTTAATTTTAACATTTTTTTCTTCGAAAAAATTGTAGTGTTGCAATAGGGAATGGACATAGATACTTAACTACATTTAACGAAAGAAATTTTGTGTAATGTCATCAATCTGTATTACACATAGACAGGATGTTCTCTAGAAAACTATGGTATTTCTAATACGTTATACACACCCCAGGGTATGTACGCACTGTCGTAATGGAAAATTACTGCATGCTTTAATTACCTGTAATCAGCCATGCAACAAATCAGTTGACTGACCATGTCATTACAGTTTAAAAAGTTTTTCCTCAGATCAAAACGGAATATTCATTTTAACTTTAAAATTTAAAACTTTAAAAAGTATACTTTGACATAATTATGAAGTAAAAGAATTGAACAATTTAATAATCGGATTTTTCCAAAGATTAAGATACAATTATATTTATTATTCTGGGACTGACAGATAAATCAAAGGCACTTGTCTAAGAATTTTTTTCTATATACTTTTATTACTTAATTGATAGGGGGTGTCGCTGGGGTTCTGTTACCCCACCCTATTCATATAATTTAGATCTTAAAATTGTAACCTTTTCCCATATTGGTTGGTTTTCGTGGGGTTTGTTGGAAAAGCGGAATATTTAAGGCTAGGATTCTGTATGTAATGTTTACTTACGGCGAGACTTTCGGCTGTGAAAAAATGACAGGGCTTTTCATATACAAGTAATTGGAACTTTATCGACCTTATCATATATTTCTGAAAGTTTTCCCCACCTATTCCCATATTTTCAAGCTGGAAACAGTGACCTATTCCAGCGGCACGTCCTATCACCTTGTATATAGGAAGTGTCCCCCCCCCCCCCCCCCCCCCCCGAGTAAAATACACAAATGTATAGGCCTAATACCTTAATTCAGGAGCACAGTCTATCTTTACCGTAAATAACTTTGAGATTAATATGTAAGTTTACTTTGCTAATCGATGTTCCTGTAATTCAGATTTAAATTTATTTGTGTGACCCCCGTCACTATTTATATTCACTCAAAGAAAGGGGTTCTCCGTTACTGGGAAAATCTTATCTGATTCAGGATCAATTTATCGGTTACACTCCCCTATCACCAGTGACTCTTTGTTGTAAGCTGACATTCTGAAAAAAGGTATACTGTTGACTATCAATTTGCATGCTTAGTTACAGATGTCGACTCGGACTACTGCAAAAGACAACAATTCAGTTCACTGATTTAGATTGAATAGTGGTTCGGTTAATCCCCTCTTCCCCAAACAAGTAAGAATTAGGTTACATCTTTTGGTAGTCCAAATAATTATAACGTCTAGCAAGGGCGGCTTGGCAAGGCTATTTTATTTTTTTTATGCCCCCGCCGTAGCGGTGGGGGCATTAAGTTTACCCTTGTCCGTCTGTACGTACGTACGTCCGTACGTCCCAAAATTGGTTTCCGTTCTCTGACTTGAGTTTGCCTCAACCAAATGTTATGAAACTTATACACAATGCTTATTACCACATAACACAGATCAAGTTTGAATTTTGGTGGCGTCACTTTTACCGTTCTAGAGTTATGCCCCTTTATAAATGGAAAAATTGCAAAATTTTTAGTTTCCGTTCTCTAACTTAAGTTTGCCTCAACCAAATCTTATGAAACTTATACACAATGCTCATTACCACAAAACACAGATCAAGTTTGAATTTTGGTGGCGTCACTTTAACCGTTCTAGGTTATGCCCCTTTATAAATGGAAAAATTGCAAAATTTTTAGTTTCAGTTCTCTAACTTAAGTTTGCCTCAACCAAATGTTATGAAACTTATACACAATGCTTATTATCACAAAACACAGATCAAGTTTGAATTTTGGTGGTGTCACTTTAACCGTTCTAGAGTTATGCCCCTTTATAAATGGAAAATTACAAAATTTTTATTTTCTTCTAAACATGCTAAATATCAACATGATCAAGTAATTTTTAAAATTGGAGTTATCTTCCTTTGTCCATTATTATAGTTAAATCAACTACAATCAATGCTTTATACAATGCAATGTTTAATTTTGACTTCCAATGATAAAACACAGATCAAGTTGAATATGGGTAGTGTCACTTTAACCATTATTGAGTTATGCCCCTTTATAAATCGAAAGATTGCTAAATTTTTAGTTCCCATTCTGTAACTTAAGTTTTCCCCAACCAAACATTATGAAACCTATACACAATATTCATTACCACAAAACAAGTACAAATTTTTTGTTTCCGTTTTCTAACTTTAGTTTGCCTCTACCAAATGTTATGAAACTTATACACAATACTTATTACTACATAATACAGATTAAGTACGAAATTTGGTGGCAACACTTTTACCATTCTTGAGTAATGTCCCTTTATAAGCATAAAAATTGCTGAATTTTTCGTTTCCGTTCTCTAACTTTAGTTTGACTCAACCAAATGTCATAAAACTTATACACAACCGTTCTAGAGTTATGCGTGTTTACAAATAGAAAAATTGCTGAATTTTTAGTTTCTGTTCTCTACTTAAGTTAGCCTCAACCAAATGTTATGAGACTTACACACAATGCTTATTACCACAAAACTCAGATCAAGTTCAAATTTGGGTAGCATCACTTTTACCGTTCCTCAGTTATGTCCCTTTATAATTTTTCTATCTATCTATCTTCATATTTCCGCACTCAGGTGATAAAAAATCTGTCTCCCCTTTTTATCCCACCAGAAAATCAAAAGGTTGTCTCCTTACACCTACATGACAAAAACATATACAAATATGGTATCATTGCCAATGTGACGGCTCTTCAACAGAAACTAAAAACGTAGAAGTTAACGACTATATAGGTCACTGTACAGATTTCAACAATGGGCTAAAAAGCCAAACTGCGTAATAAGCTACAAAATGCCAAAATAGATAGACAATATCTGACAAGGGTAGAAATGTTCAGAATGTTGAAAAAAGATCTACTGTCAATTTGCATCAAAAC